AAAGGAAAAAAGAATCATATCGCACCATCTCTGTAATAGGTGAACGCCTCTTTTTCTCCTGAAGTTGTCGGAATTATTCGTAATAAGATATTGGCTACAATTGAAAAGGTCTTATCAATAAAATTTCCGTTTATCCGAGATCTAGGCATAAGTAGCAATCCATTCTAGAATTTAATTATCTCTTGCGAGAAAATAATCCCACAAACAAAGGAATTGTACAATACAGTACGAAATAACATAAAAAGGACTCGTTAAAAAAAATTGTTTATGAAGGTTTTTTTTTAAGGATCTAGCTGGTGCTTGTAGTACTGAAATCAGTATAGTCTTCTGAAAGATGTCTTAACTTGGTTAGGATTGTGAACTTATCTAATTTGGATCTTGAGATTCTCCTGCGAGAGCTGGAGGGGTGATAGCCTCTGTAAGACAAAGTTTCTTTGGAACTCTTGCAACGTTATTGTTGATGAATCTGCAACAAACTGTTGTGATAGCCCCTGTAGACTCTTCACCAGTATTTATTAAATGCAGTTAAAGTTTATCCTAATTTCTTCATTATTTGACTTTCATATTTAGGCCACAAAGCAGAAGTGTTCCAGAAATTTAAACGGTTGTTTGTATAAAGACTTTTCTGTCAGTGTCTCTTTCATAATGCCTAAAAAGTATGAAAAAATAGAAAAACTTTTATTATTTTGATGTTTGCACGTTCCACACATTATACTCATTAAGGACATTGTAGAGTTTTTCTCTTCAGTAGGATAAGAGTAAACATTTGAAAAAGGGTAACAAGGTGGGATTTTGGTTTCTGGAATCACAAAAGTAATGATAGTGGTAAGGCTGGGAAAGAGCCCAAAGATACCATAACAGTCCTTTAACAATAGAGATGGTGAGGTAAGGAGTATCTAGGTCAAAATTCTAGAGACAAGGATGGATTTGGGTGTTAACACAGAGTTCCTTTGGCAAGATTGTGAACATCAGTGAGTGTAGTTTTTCAGGTCGTGATGCTAGAGAAAAAATGGTGGCTATGAGGAGAATACTGAGGGCTTTTTTCTAAGTGTGAAAAATTAAACTTTGGGTGGTCTAAAAAGATAGTCAGCAAATGTGATGTGTATTTGGAACAAGTCTTTCCACCTAAGCAATTGTGTATTTGGAACAAGTCTTCTTTTTTGTTTCAAGCATGGAGGGAAATGATGTAAATTGATTTTCAAAAGGACTGAGATGAAAATTGATTTTTTCAATTCCCTTTTTTACGACTAGAATTTCCTTATAGGTGGCGTGGTAGTGCTTTCCTAGAATTTTTTCAATTCTTAGAATTGCATAAACTTTTTCAAGAACTATTGCACCCCAATAATGATCACCTAGAATTTTGAGTGGTGGTGGATGCTATGTTATCTCCTTAAACTGTTTTTATTGCAGCAGTTTGTTCCTTTCTATAAGGGATAGGGTTCCTTTTGCGGAGCTTAGATAGCTGGTTTGTAGTGTGTCTAGTTATATTATAGTCACGGACATAATTAACAATTCCTAAAAACTGTTAGATTTGCTTTTCTGACAAGCTGTCATTTGGGAATTTGAGTAATTCTTGTGCAATGTAGAGACCAAATTGATAAAATTCATTGTGGACTATATTGCTCCAAAAAATTTCAATTTATGGTTTAGCTATAAAGCTTTTTTTGGATGAAGGCATTATTCCATAGTGATCCAAAATGTCAGCAAATTAGGCAAGCATTTTGGAGAATGGGCTCAAAAATATTTTTAAAATAGGGAAGGAGCAACTTTCAGCCCAAATGATGACAGTCCATAGTACTGGGCATCAAGAATGCATGAAGCCCGCTATGCTCGCTGAGCCCGCCCGAGCCCGAAGAGCTGGGCAAAATTTCATGGGCAACCAAAAAAAAAGAGCCCGAAAAATTATATATATATTATTTTACATCTAATATTAATATATTACATTTCTTTACCTAAAAAAAATTATCTCCCTTCTTTACAATTTAATATTACATGTCTATTAGTTTTCCATTTTAGGGGATCTAATCTTCTAAAGAAACAGTAGTATCTTGTTTTTAACTTATTCTTCGTGAGCTTTTAATAACTTGTTTTTAACTTATTAATAACTTTTTTTTGTTAGAGAATGGAATTCATACATTACATATTTGTATAAATAAACAATTTTGAATATTTATGCAAGATAGAAAACAAGATTGGGGTAGGAGCATGGAAAGAAAATTGGGGTTTAATTATCTGAATTACATGTTTTTTTATTTAATTTATATTTAGTTATTTTGTATTAATTTTTTATGAACAAGTCATAGAAAGAAGTCTTTTAGTTGTATGGACTACTAACTGCATTGTATCACATAATAAGTATTTACATATTAAAAGTGGTTATATTAAATTATTATAAGATTATAAGATTTTTTATTTTTCTTTTTACAATTATTTTCACCCTATTTTTATATGGTCTATGTTATTCCTATTAGCCCATTGCTTCAGTTTTAATATCCTTTTGCAATCCTTTAAGTAACATTTAATTTTTGCCACTTGAATGGATAATCAAGTTTCTATTACATCGCCATCCCTGGCTTCCAATGGAATATCTCGATGTGCTTCAACCCCTCTTCAATTTTTTCAGATGTTTTATTCTTTTCTCAACTTTCTGGAGATTAATGCAAACTGTTTGAATTTCAAGACTTTAATTATAATCTTGAGAGTTGTTTTGTTCTAAATGGATTATGAATATTATTTATTTGGATATTTGCTAAGACTTGTTTTGAATTATTTCTGGATAATTTTAATGTGTGAAAATGTAAAATTATGAAATGTAATTTTCAGGTATGGATGAAATTTCTTTACATGTGATATTAGTAGGTCATCACCATTTGGGCAGCAAAGCCCGCCTTGCCCAGCCCGCCCATGCCCAGCCCAAAATGGTTAGGGCTTCTATGGGCAGGGCCGGACAGTAGGCTGCAAAATGCAGCCCGTTCATACTTCGGGCTGGGCATTGGGCTAGTCCTGCCCTGCCCAGCTCTGCCCATATACACCCCTAATGATTTCATGTTGCTAAGGTTATCTGTTCCCAGAGTAGAAAGGAGGAATTTGTCATCTTGTAGGCGAAAAAAAAAAAGGGGCTTGGCATGCCCAATTAGTAGGCTCAATTAATCCTTATAATAGCAGAAAAGAATATTCTTGCCTGCGCTTCTCTAGCATAACATTTATATAAATTCACAATCACAATCAATTCACACATTTTTAAAGTAGTAGGGAGCCTTAAAAATCATGCCTTATCAAAACTTTCAAACAAACCTCTCTAAGCAAACAACAAAATAATCACAATAAAGAAGCAATTACAATCAATTTACTCATTCTTTATAAGGGCAGGGGGGAGGGGGGAGGGGGAAAATTAAGCCCTATTCTTGAAGGTTCTAACGAATCTTTATTTTGTTTTTCCTTTTATTACCATATTGGATTGGCCCCTATTTAGAAATCTAATAAAATCCAAATTTTTACGAGCGAATATTTACTCTTTCATTATCTATTTCAAATGTGGAGTTAGCCTATGACTCCTCAGAACATGATTCCTCCAAATAAATGGATTGGTTTTTGGTTCCTTCTATCATCCCACCTAACGAATCATTAAGATTTGGTTTTAATAAAATCGTAGGCATTGAAACTTTCAAATAGAGCGCTATAAAGGAACAATCACAACAAACAAACAAACAATCTCAATCAAATCATTCTTGAAGGGGGAGGAAGCCCAAAATTAGAACCTATGAAGACATCCAAAGTTTCAAACGAAACTTGAGCAGGTAATCACAACAAACAAATGCAATAATTAAATAACAATCACATTCCAAAAATAGAAACAAAATATGTAGCACAAATAAAAACAGGGAACACAACCTTGTTTTGCTTGCTTATTATATAATTTATCAAACTTCTCAAGCAGAACTTCTCAAACAAACAACCACAAATTCCTCCCTCTCAAACTTCTTAAGCATAACTTCATCTATATAAATTCACAATCACAATCAATTCATACGATTTAAAGGAGTAAGAAGCCTTAAAAATCAGGCCCTATCAAAACTTTCAAACAAAACTTTCTGATCAAGCAACACAATAATCACAACAAACAAACAGTCACAATCAATTTTCTTGAAGGGTGAAGGGGAGGGAGGCCAAAAATTAAGCCCTATGAGAGTCCAAACTTTCAAATGGTTTTCAAAGGAACAATCACAAGAAACAAACAATTTCAATCAATTCACATTCTTGAAGGGGCAGGAAGCCCAAAATTAGGACCTAAAACCTAAACCCTAAACAACTACAGACGAGAAACAAGCAAGGAACACAACTTCAATTAAAAGAACACCCTTACTAGAACTTGATAGCAAGCAAAAGTAATTACAATAAACAACGAGAAAAATCTGACAACAATGACAATGCATATATAACTTGAAAAGAATACAGCTTTGAAGCGGGAGGAAATCTAGTTGTGGGAAAAATAACTTCAATTAAAAGAACACCCATTCATAAGGCATTAAAATGGAAAACAACAAAATTCTTCCCTTTCAATGACATCCAAACTTCCTCAAGTGGAACTTTATCCATGCAAATTCTCAATCACAATCAATTCACACAACCTCTTGTGTGAAGGCATCCAAACTTATTAAGTTTACTTCATAAAGTAGCAATCACAACCAATTCACACATCCTTAAAAGGGAGAAGCTTACCTGTCTTGTTGATTTTGCATTACCTTATGATGGAGAGAAGTTCTTCCCCTTCTCTCTCTTTCTCTTTACCTCTATAAAGTACCATATTGAAGAATTCACTATACAACTATAAAAATTACGTTTTGTACGTTTTGTCCCACATCAAAGGGTTACTTTGATTCTAGTCTATGAAAGGAATTGAAATTCAATAAACTAAAATACCATTGCTTTTTATAAGAGGGCCGATCAAAGGAGAGATCTTGTAGGGAAAAAAGTATAAAGATGGATTGAAGCTTACCTATTTTATTGATCTAGAGTCGCCACAAGATGAGAGAAGTTCTTCGCTTGACATCTTGATTCACCACATTAAAGAACTATACAACTATAAAAATAATGTTTTGTCCTATATCAAAGGGTTACTCTAGTTCAAGTCTATCAAAGGAATTGAAATTCAATAAACTATAGAATATATCATCGATTTGAACAAGAGAGCCAGTCGAAGGAGAGATTTTATAGGAAAAAAATATAGATGGATAGAGGCTTACCTTAGTCGGTTGATCCAGAGTTGCCAAAAGATGGAGAGAAGTTCTTCTCTTCCTCCCTCTTTCAAAGGGTTACTTTGATTCAAGTCCATTAAAGGAATTAGAATTCACTGAACAACTATAGAAAATACTAGCAATTTAAATTAACGAGCCAATTAGGAAAAAAAATGTCTATGCGCAGAGAAGCTTACCTATTTTGTTGATTTTAAGTCACCACAAAATGGAGAGAAGTTCTTCCTTTGTTCCACAACAAAAAATTCACTAAGCAATTGTAGAATATGTCGTCCACATGATTCAAATCCATCCAACACATGATTTTTTAAAAATACAAGCATATGACTTAAAACGGCTAGGCTAACTTCTATTCATCTTGCTACAAAGCAAGAGGCATATATCGCCATTATGAAGAATGTGAATATTACAAATCAGTATTGATCATATAAAGAAAATTAAAATTATACTTGAAATATGTAAATAAATCATACAATTATAATCATTCAAAAAATGTAAAAGTCTACTATTCATCTTGGTAACTCAAGATCTGTCTGTATTATCATACCTTTGCACGTTCCATATTGGCAATCACTATCTGTCCTACTAAACTGCCTTTAATTTCTAAAGCTGAAAGTTCACCAATAGACCATGTTGTTACGATTGCTCTTATATGAGTATTCATTAACTTGTATATGTTATCCTCCAATATTAAAATTTAATTTAACCTTGTATATTTTCCTTTTCCAATAAGGGGGCTAAGGCCAAATTAGTTTAGGACATTCTATCTAAATTAATCACGTCATAAAGAAATATCATTGCTAGAGTGGGTCATACGAAATGTCCCCACACCACAACAATCAATTACTTCTAGTCATGATGCCTACGCAATCTCCTTGAAATGCAACTAAACTACATTGCAAGAGACTTTAAAGTAGTTCAATAAGCTTATTTTCTCACCAAAATATCAAGGCTATCATAATTGACCTAACCTAAAATATTAAATGTATATTCACCCATGCATAAACAATGCATTCGACATTTCCACTTTCATCATGCAAGGGCACAACATTATTTGGTAAAAAGCAAATAGGCACATAACCTAACTTGATCTATTCAGATCTTCAACAGCCTCCATATGTTTTTGATACTTCGAGGAATAAGGTCTTACTAATATATATCACGTAACAAACAACTAAAAAGATAGACCTAACTTGATCCATTTAGATCTCCAACAGCCTCCATATTAGTTTTTGATACTTCGAGGAATAAGGTCCTACTATTTATATATGACGTAACAAACAACTAAAAAGATAGATAAGGAGGAAGGCAACATGTAATTAATCTTTTTTAGAAGGCTCACTTTCACTAAAGTATATTAATAATTACAATCAATTCGCGCATTGATAGAGGAGGGAACCATAAAATCCCTCCCCTGCGAAAGCATCTGAGCTTTCAAGCAAACCAGTAGCAAATACAGTAGTCTGGTAATGAACACAGTCCAACAAATTTATACTCCCTTGGAGGCATCCAGACTTTGGAGGGAGGATATCGTCCAATAAATCCCTCCCCGCTTGAGGGCATCCGAACTTCCAAGCAAATCACTACAAAATATAGTAGTCTGGTAATGAACACAGTCTAACAAATTCCTACTCTTTCGGGGGCATCCAGACTTTGGAGGGAGGACCATAAAATTCCTACCTAAACTTTCAATAAGTAATTACATAAACAAATAAAGTAGTCTGGTAACAAATACAATCCAAACATAGAAACCACAACGTGAAAACAAATGTGCCATGCAACAAACAACTAGAAACAAAGAATGAAGAGGAAGACAGCCAGGTAACTAGTCTAATTCAGAAAGTTCAATTCTACAAGGTGTATACTTAAATCAAATCACATATCGATGAGGGGGGACCAACAAATCCATCCCCCTTGAGGACACTAAAACTTTTAGGAAGAACACAAACAAAAGAGTAATCACAATAAACAAATAAAGCAATCTGGCAAAAATCACAATCCAGAAATAGCAGACACAACATGAAAATCATAAGTCACATAAAAAACAAATAAAAAACCACAACCTTAATGGGAAAGGCAACCACAAAACCCTTCCCCCTAAAGTCTTCAAGTTTCTCAAGTAGAACTTTATATAACAAACAAAAGTGTAATCATAAGTTATATAACAAACAAGTAAAAGAGCGCATCCTTGATGGGAAAGGCAACTACAAAACTCTTGCCCCTTAAAGTCAAAGCTTTCCAAGCATAACTTGGCAACCACAACATGAAACAAATGTGCTATGCAACAAACAAATAGAAACAAAGAATTAAGGGAAAGACAACAAGATAACTAGTCTAATTCAGAAAGTTCACTTTTACAGAATGTAAACTTAAATTAAAATCAAATCACATATCAACAAAGGGGGACTATAAACTCCGTCCCCCCTGAGGACGCTAAAACTTTTAGGAAGAACACAAACAAAAAGTGATCACAATAAACAAATAAAGCAATCTAGCAAAAATCACAATCCAGAAATAGCAGACACAACGTGAAAATCACAAGTCACATAAAAAAACAAGTAAAAAACCGCATCCTTGATGGGGAAGGCAACCACAAAACCCTTCCCCCTAAAGTCTTCAAGTTTCTCAAGTAGAACTTTATATAACAAACAAAAGAGTAATCATAAGTTATATAACAAACAAGTAAAAGAACGCATCCTTGATGGGAAAGGCAACTACAAAACTCTTGCCCCTTAAAGTCAAAGCTTTCCAAGCATAACTTGGCAACCACAACATGAAACAAATGTGCTATGCAACAAACAAATAGAAACAAAGAATTAAGGGAAAGACAACAAGATAACTAGTCTAATTCAGGAAGTTCATTTTTACAGAATGTAAACTTAAATTAAAATCAAATCACGTATCAACAAAGGGGGACCATAAACTCCGTCCCCCCTGAGGACGCTAAAACTTTTAGGAAGAACACAAACAAAAAAGTGATCACAATAAACAAATAAAGCAATCTGGCAAAAATCACAATCCAGAAATAGCAGACACAACGTGAAAATCACAAGTCACATAAAAAAACAAGTAAAAAACCGCATCCTTGATGGGGAAGGCAACCACAAAACCCTTCCCCCTAAAGTCATTCAAGTTTCTCAAGTAGAACTTGATAACAAACAAAAGTGTAATCGTAAGTTACATAACAAACAAGCAAAAAAGAACACATCCTTGATGGGAAAGGCAACTACAAAACTCTTGCCCCTTAAATTCAAACCTTTCTAAGTATAACTTGGCAACCACAACATGAAAACAAATGTGCTATGCAACAAACAACTACTCCAAAGAATGAAGAGGAAGACAGCCAGGTAGGAATTCAGAAAGTTCATTTCTACAAAGTATATACTTAAATCAAAATCAAATCACATATCAATGAAAGGGGACCAAAGAATCCCCTCCCCCTTAATTAAGGACCCCAAAATTTTCAGGAAGAACACAAGCAAAAGAGTGATCAAAGTGAACAAACAAAACAATCCAGGAAGCAGATTATTTGAAAGGAGTTATTGTGTTCTCTTAACAAAAGTAAAGCTAATTAAGGCAGCCAAAATTTGAACTATTGCCTATTCAATAGTTGTCGTTGCCTTTGTGCAAGACCCCAAAAAAAAAAAAAAAAAAAAAAAACTAGCTATGTTTTTCAGTGCATACCTTAAGTACCAGCTATTTGCCAACAACTACTTGCATCTTCAGTCTCATGCTAATGCTAGTTTAGTATCTAATAAAAAAGCATCAATCCTACTTTATCATTTGAATTCACATATGTTTGAATTCAACACCTATATATTGAAATGTTAAGTTTATAGCACATATAACTTGGCAATATAGCCCGTCTAAATACCAAGTCAAAGTCAAGCAAGGTTCACGGAGATAAAGGAAGAGCCATACCTGTGAAAATGGAGAAATTTATTCTTCAAGACTATGAATCCTAAAGGAGCAAGAGGCCTATAAAATACATGGCTCGAACCTTTAAAAAAAAAAAAAAAAAAGGAAATTAGGAGGCACTTTAATGAAAACATAGCCTGCTAATTAGAGAATTTAAAAGCACAAACAGCAAACCATGTTTTAAAAAGCATGAAATGAGCATTAAATGTTAAAGATGTTGGTAATATGGTTATAAGTTGTAGGAAGAGAAAGTTAGTGACTTATAAAGCAAGAATCATATGGGTTAAATATGAAGAAAGTATGAACATAGGCTAAGAATTTAAAGCTTAAAGCTTTTGTGAGTTTCAATTAAATTAAAGGGAAGATGAAAAACTCCTCCAAACTTGTGATGTAGAAGCTTGTGACGATGAGTTTGTCTAAACCAAAGTCATGAAGGCAAAATTAATGTTGAAGAGTTCTTACAACTCATATTTTCTATCAAACAAGGGGGGGAAAAATTCAAGAATGTATGGCATAGTGAGCTATTTATCCATGAACAAAAATTTACACTAAAGGTAATAATATGACTCCCAAGTGAATATATTTCTACAAAACATTGATAACACATAACTGAACAGTCCAAGATTAAAGAAGCAAACAATTCACTGAAGTCTAAAATGTTGCAAAGTAGACAAGAGGATGCTATAACACTAAAACTTTCATTACCATATTTTATGGCAAGACCCGGGTACTAACCAAGCCAATATTCCCTTAGGACAATTTCCTCCCAAATACAGATAGAATATGTGGCGAGATAAAAACAGGTGGATACTTCACTAATTCTCATCTCATTGAATAACTATAAGCCATTTCTCTTTGGGACAAAATTTGTGCTCTCCAGGTCATTCACAGAGAAGCCTTTGTGCAAGACAATCTCATACTGAGTTAATGCCAAGCAGATTATTAAGGCAAGCAGAAGATTTAGAGTGCAATAGAAAGTTGTACACTATTCAACATATATCTGTGGAGAGATACAATCAGAATAATTATACAGTGGTCAGATATTGTGGCTATTTCTGTCACAAGGAGAATGCACACATTTAATGTATATCTCCTAATGATTAATCAAATGTTATTTGTTTAGAAAATGTTCCATTTACTATCAACACCACTAGCCCAGATACATTAGTTTTCCTTTTTCAAGTCTTGAAAATACTGATTTAAAACTAAGGGCAAAAGAGGCATTGGCATAATGTCATCCAAAGGTAATACACAACTATACAGCACGAGAAACTCAAATCACTAAAAAGACATAAATTGCAATTTATAACAGATAATACAATAACTGACCCACAATTGGGGTTCGACCTCACTGCATTCAGGGATCAATATTGGCAATTTGGGGTTCAATGTCTTTAGCTCCCTTTTCATCTTTTCCATAAACATCCTGGGAAAACAATGAGGGCTCGTATCAAATTTGGATACATAATAGGTGTATTTACGCTTAATCACTAAGCACGTCAGATATGTATGGTTAGAGAAGCAACGAAAATTTATCAAAAGACAGTATATTATAATAAGTATGAAGTGGTTGGGCTTGTGGGTGGTGTCTGGCATATCAGAAACCGAAGCTCCTTCAGGAACTTTGAAAGATTTCCTCTCTACGCCATTGCTAACCTGGAGGCTCAAACCTGAGAAATTAGACCGACGGAAGAGAATAAAAAGCCCAGACCCAGAAGAGAGCTCATTATCAGAAATCAGTATTCAGGCGAAGATTAAACAACATACACCACAGTGGTGACTGGGGGCAGCTATGCTCCTCTATACTGTGATAATTGGAACGACGAAGAGATTACTGAAATGAAAATTGGAAGAAGAGAAATAGAGTAAAAGGTATAGACCAAGCTCACGTCGTTAAGTTTCTGTCCGTCTCTCAAACGATCGCCACCTTTCTACCTCTTCAAATCTCTCGACACAGACCTGTGAAAAGGTCGGGTCCGGAGACACATTGTCTCCTCATTTCCCCGATGGTTCTCTTCGTCTCCATTCGGGATGCGACGGCCATTTTATGAAGCTTCAGTTAACAGTGTCAGCCCTCCTCTTGTCGCTTCACTCTGCTCGCTCTTCTCCATCTCGCTGCGACAGAGAGGGTAGGGGAAAGGAAAAAGAAGGAAGGGAAATTTCTCAGTAGGTGAGGAGCCGGAAATTATTGTAAAAGTAGCCGTTGTGGAGCGCTTCAACGGAAGGGAGAGATCTTTCTCAATGCATGTTCCACATTCGACCGTTGAGGTGTAACGAATCATTCTCGTGAGGTATAAGGATAAAGAAACATCAAAGATACTCAGAACCGGAAAAAAAAAAAAAAGAAAGAAAGAAAAGACGGTTGAGTTATCGACTTATCGTCTCCTCTGTCCGTCCGGAAAACTAAAATCCTCTCACTGAACGTATTTGAAAATTGAAATAGCACATGGGAAAAAAAAAGTATATTAAATGGTTTTTTAAATAAATAATACCAATTCTAGTTTTTAATACAAAAGTTCGTTCGATTTTTATTTTGATTTTAAATATAAGACTTGAATTTATTTTATCTCTCATATTTATCTATTTTTTTTCAAGATAATCCTTATAATAATAGTGATTCTAACTAATACATTTAATTGGTAAGGATATTTTAGGAAAACAACACCTATTTATTACAAATAACTAACTTAACTAATTTTCTTAATTTAAATTAGTTAACTAGCTCTTATATTAAGGATTGAAAGTAGTAAGTAATATTAAGGGGGCGTTTGAATGGAAATAAAACTATGATTTTAAAAGTGTTTTTACGGTGTATAAAATAAATATGTGAAAACGTTTATCTCAATTTACAAAAGAGTGTTATAATCCAACGCCTCCTAAATGTTAACGCACGTGAGGATTGTATAGAATAAATCATTAAAAAAAAAAACTAAAGAAAGGTGGTGAGGGGTGGCAAATAAAAAAAAAATTAATGACAGTCGGATAATGATGCTTTATTTATTCAAGTAATACTTTTTTTTAATATTATTTCAATTCAGAGAATAGTTATACATAATAGCATTAATGCAGCAACTTTTTCTCCCTATTACTCTTTAGTATAAAACTTATTTGTAGTGCAAATTATACTAGATAATGAGTTTTGCATTAAAGATTGGAGTAATACATTTTTAGAACTAAAAGATATAATTTAGAAAAAATTAAAATAAAAAAAAAAGCAGTAATATTCATTAAGGAGGATTTTAAAAATTATAATTATTTAGAAAGATAAAAAATTAGAATATAAATATACATATATTAAATTGTGCATAACAAAACTCCGTCCATTCCTTCTCACCACATCTCAAGTTTTGATAATTATTGGCAACAAGGGGAGTAGTATTGATATTTGGTTATCATCTATTTCCATTATTTTTAAATTTAATCTATACATTATAAAAATTCTACAAATTAATCATATATACTTTTTTTTATTTTTTATGTAACGTTCACTAGAATTCCACCCCTAAGGACAGTCCTTGCACTCCAGTAAGTTGTGCCTCCCATCCTTAATATTCATATGCGCGTCTCTCATTACTTCTTTTCTTAAAGAAGCAAATTTTATATATGATTTTAATTTTTTTCTTTTCTATAACATTAAAATTAGAAGGAGTCAAATTAACGCAAACGCTCGTTTTTAAACTTAAAAAATAAATTAGTTTCAATTTTTTAAAAGTTTCATAATAAGTTATGAATGTTAAGAAATTTTACCAAAATAAAACTTATTTTGTTTTTAATTAAGATCATAAAAATAATTTTTTTACTTTTTTTCCCAAATTTTATAATATCCTGGTGCGTCTTTATTTTTATTTTTTTTATCTTTACTCTGACTTATTTTTAGAAACTACTTAAACCAATTTTTTAAATAATCAAAACTATAATTTTTTTATTATATTATATTTAATACAGTTACTATTAACTGTCATATAATTTTCTAAAGAACAGTTTCAGATGTGATTTTTTGTACCCTTTTTTTCGGATAAAAGACAGCAACAAATTAAAATTAAAAAAGGTATAACATGATAAACCTCTACCATATGTAAACAGAGGCATCCGAATTTTTCGAAAGAGCATTGTCTAAATTACATAATCGAATTAGATACAACCACATCAATTATGGTAGATGACATGAATTCCAAGTCATAATTTAAAGAATACTTATAGACAACTCTTCTCCACCTCATGACTTCGATCAGTATTCCCAAAATGAGTGTTGTAAAATGTAAAGCCATGCAAAATTCTGTGCCTTCGAGAGAAGAAGAAAACGAAAAAATAAAAAACACATACGGACAGGCACACACAAATTTACTAAGATTATGATTATTGATCTTTCATTTTGGGGGAAACAAAAAACAACTATACAAGAGAGGACCAATCTTCAGCAGGTGAAAAATGACTTGCTATCTACCTTCCCACATTCCTTTGTGAAGACAATATAGACAAATTAGGACTATAATACACTCCCCGCTGAAGAATGGCACTAGAGTAATACCCAAAAATAAAATTTTTAAATAAAAAAAAAAAAAAAACTGGCAAAATCGAAGAATCACTAAATCGGTCCCCATAAAAAGGGAACCACCCTAAAGCCCCTGTAGAGGTGGTAAGTCCTGGTAGACGATGGTCTCACTAATTAGCTGAATTCAAACATCCACTTCCGGACAATCATGTCGTAAAGAAGCGATCAACTAATGGAAAGGCCACAAGCTGGTGAATCTGCTGCGTTGTCATATGCTTTTGTCCCTTTCAATACAGAAACCACCCACAGAGGCACAGTTTGTTAGCTAGGTCCAAGAGGGGCGAGGGTACCTGTCATGATAATTTCCACAAAACATCCATATTTACATCAGAAAATTGTTCATCCTGCATTGTTGGCAACTTCTGCTGCTCTCTGTCTCATCATCTCATTTACAGCTGCTCTTCGCCGAGATTCAGACTGCTGCTGTAACCTCCTTAAATGTTCTTTCAAATCTCTGAATTGGCCCCAAAAAAAAAAGGCGTTAAATTAAAAATGTGTGTGCGCATGCGTGCGTGCGATAAAATCAACAAAGATGGCAATCCCAGATCCACAAACCTGCATCGTGGTACGTGACACTCAGATTCTTTACAAGCTCGAGCATGAAGTTGAAGCAAATACCACATCTTCTTGCAAAGAACACAGCCCCCAGATGCACGTGTTTTACATTGAATTCCATGACGGAAGAGCCCCTTCACTTTTCGACAATTGGGATACTGGCAATGTGGAGAACGACATTGTGACGCATGCACAAGAAGATCAAGCATTTTCCGTAGCTGCATCAGAATGTCAAATGCAATAACTATCAGGTTTTATACCAAAAGACGTAAGATCAACCCAAAAAAAAAAAAAAAAAAGAAGAAGTGAACGAATAATCTGGTAAGGTAATAATCATGCAGCAGCTTCAGAAGGGAATGCAAGCAATCAGCCAGAAAAAAATGCTGAAAGGAAGCTAGAAAATTCCCCTCTGCAAAGTAATAACAAGAGAAGATACACATCTTTATTTGTTTATCCACCCAATTTATGCCACAAATAAGCCAAACATAATAGAGTTCCTAAGACAGGAAGATTAGATAACTAGTTGCCATAACATGTAGGTAACAAAATCTAATTAAATTTAGGAACAACTTAAATTAGTAACATAACAGGGTCAAAACGTAATTGATAATCATCAGAATTCAGACATGAAATTCAAGATCTTAGGCTCACGCTTGCACTTCATATTTAAGATGTCTTCAATGTTATAATCAAGAACTGAATTAGACAAAGTCCAGTCATTCATGCTGAACTCTCAATAGATAGGATACCATGAATGCTTCATTGACAGATCATAAAACACGGTACATGTAACCAAATTCAGAAATTAGATAATACACAGAAACAAAATCTGAAACCTAAATAATACCTGCAACACTCGAAGCTGTCTCGCTTCTTTGTTTTGCGCATCACGATCAGCCAGTGATGGATGATTTGTCAACTTGTGTGGATGATCAATGCCTCCCTTTTGATAACAAGCATTGCATACATCATACTCCGGGCAAACTTCACATCGCCAACCTTGACCAGTCTCTATGTCAAGATAGCAGATGTTACAGGTTGTCACAAAGGCAGGAGCAGTTGGATTATGAAGATGATATAGGACCATCATTGATGAATGCTTGGCCCGTCTGAGAGTATCATATTGATAATGGTTTCCTTGACAGAGACTCAGAAATGCCTGTCTAGTGTCAAAAAATTCACTCTCAAGGATCTCATCTTTGTCCTTTGTGTCAGCCAGTACATCAATAATCTCAATCTGCAGAAATGACAGGTCATAAGAAAGTAACCAAACAAACCTCACCTACTTAGACACTACAAAATACCAGGTTGTTAGGCTTCCCTTAAATTTGCTAACACTTAAGTTCCTCTAAGTTAACAACATTACTTAAACAGAAATTACAGCAATAGGAAAGTGATAGATTGCCAACTCTCTCATTCCCTAGCAAATAATCAAATTCATTGTCCACGTCAACATCAGATGGATTGCTTGCTTACTCGGTTAAGAGCATGTTTCTCCCTCTGATTTATAGGATGCCTTTCTCTTTCTTCACGTTTTTGTTCTGCTTCGTAACACCTGAGAGACCAAATATTAAAATTAGGTCAATATCAAAATTCTAAATATTTGTTCACAGAGGGTTTGCGAGGGGGACTAGGACATTGCGTATGAGAGACAGTTGATATAGGAGATATGGAGTAGTTACAGATACTTGAAAGTAACATTGAGACATTATTACAAAGGATCACTGTGTTTTAGCAATAAGTTACAATTTATTCAAATCAATACTAGATTTCAATTTATGTACAAAAACTCTCTTCATGCATAAATTTGATAATAGATTATATGACAATGTAATGTACAGGTTTAGGCCACCCTCCACAATCACCACTTCAATGTGAAATTCAGAAAGATGAAACAAAATATCGTTTTATAAGTATATGCTCTCCTATAATAGCAGGTTACTGAAAACAGATATTACACAGTGGAATAATAAAATAATGCCGGATTAATTATAGTTCGCACCACAGCACAACATTAATCTATTCCCTCAGGCTTCGTTTGGCACACAAAATAACCTGGAATGGAAGGAAAAATGAACTAAAAAGTAGTTGTGTGGGTAAAAATTAAATTGTGACCCTACTTTTAAAAAGGTAATAAAAGGATAAACTACTCAATAATGATTACAAGAGTATAATAGACATTGCAAAAAAGTGAGGAAATGGATCCCACTCCCCAGGACAAACTAAATGAAGCCTTATGGCTTCAACTTGAAACTACTGCTCAACTTCCCTGTGGTTCGCTCCATTATCACTTAACCACCTCATGGTATTTCGGGTTAATTTGACCAGAAAGAATCATACGCAAGTTAAAATGGAGAAAGCTTTCATAATCTTTCTAATTATGCACGTTAAATTGACATTAAAAAATTGGAATTGTTTGTTAAATAGAGATGATGAAAATTTTTAATAATCTTACATAAACATTATATTTGCGTATAAATGTAACTCAAATCCCAAAAACTGAATGCTTATGTTGAACTTACAGTATACATAACTCATATCTTAAATATATTGGCTAGAAATCAGAGTACTGCCAAAAGTTAAAATATAGCTCTGAAGTCGCAAAAGTAGAAAAGTAGTCGTCTTAATTCTTAATCACCAAAAGACTTCAAAATACTCAACCATTTTGTTATTGTAGCATATAAATGAGTAAATAAAAGAAATAAGATGGAAATCTTTTAAGAGCTGAGTTGATGAGATTTCATGTTCAGTGCAGTAAGCCAAAGTTTCTATACAATCTTTTTTCCTGCGCTTACTTAATCTCTGACGCTGAACTATTTAAGGCCATACACACAAATCTCTAGGAAACACAGACACGCCCCAAAAAAAAAAAAAAAAGGGAATACATCAATAATAGATACTCCCTCCAATCCTATCTATAGGCTTCACCTTTCGAAAAGGGCCCGGTCCAATTTATAAGCTCCATTTTGAACTTTGTCAGACATTTAATACTTTTTTCCAATTTTAGCCTTGGTTGATTGTATTTATTGTTTTATTTTTTTTCCAATGACTATGAATAGCATTAATTAGAAAGGTGACTAGCTTGATTCCCTCCAATTATTTTAATAATTCATTCTACTCTCCCTTTCTGCATATACTACCCCGTATATTTTCTCTCATCATTTATTCATCTATTGTCTCTCTCAATTACTCTCATAATAACTAAGCGCATATTTGGGGGGAAAGAATACATTTTTTACCTATTTATTATTTTTAACTAATTTTAATTCTTTGTTCATTAAACACAATTTGGTTATTTGAAGCTTATATAAGACCAAAGGGAGTACATATCAAATATGATACACATTCCACAACCAAACAATCCTATCTAACTTTTTCAGTTCGATACATTTTTGAAATGCACAAGACTCTTTCAAAATAATCTGGACAGATAGCGAATCTTTCTTATATGAATGGAGATGAGAATTAACAATTGATTTGAATTGAAACCATAGTTTTAACTTGTTTGATGATTTTATTTGTATTTTATTATAGACATCTTATTACATATTAGAAATACCTCTTCAAGACTCAATACCCTTTTGGGTTCTTTACAACGAACATACACATGAACACACCCCATATGCCTGTCTCCTAAAGATTGTTGTGTATCCCTCCAAAGCAGGTCTTACTAACCACATGAAAAGGGCAATAAGACCGAACCGCATTAATCCTCACCCAGCCCAAAACAAAAAAGAAAAAGAAAAAAGTTGAAAGAAACAAAGAAAATGGGGGCTATTCTACAAATAGTCCTTTCTTTTGACTCCCAAGAACACAGCGTTTTAGTGTTTTGCATTTAAGAGGGTACAAAAAAACATAACCAACAGAGAGGACAAGAATTCTTTCTAAACAAAAGCCAGGGAAAAAAAAAAAAACAGAAACAAAACGAGGAAAACAAAATGCAACGAAGCTGTCAAATTCTCTTGCATATTACTCCCTCCAGTCCTAAATGTATGACCCATTTTGTGAGTACCATTTTTCTTTGTATATTACCAACAATAATTGATATTTCAAAAACTCAACTTCAACGGCCCAAAGGAACTCCCCTCTACAGACAACCCATAAAGATAGACTTTATAAAACTACATGAAAAATATATAAATTTAAGACTATGGCAAAGCTTCACAGTGATACTATTCACTTCAACAGCAGCATAACCTCAACAAGAGCAGGCATTAATGAATAACGTCAGGTCATAAGCCCATAACCCTGGAGAGATAGAATATCAAAACTCAACAGCAATTTCAATATCAAATGCAACCAGGGTAAAAATTGCCCAGCAATCTAGAAAAGTTACGGTCAACAAGTTCAAATAATTTTGAAGCTTTTACTATCAACATCAATAAGTAGCATCATAGGGCAAGATATGGTTCACAACATTATCTCACACTACAGTTCAAGATCTATGACATGGTGTGCATAGCTGCAAATATAATTTACAACGGATGGCATGACAAGCAATGAGAGTAAGTTTCCTTACTTGTCACAAATCTGAAAATTCTTGCACTGGTTACAAACCCAACGGTTGCCAGACACCATTAAAATGCAACAGTGGCTGCAAGCATGTTGCAAATGAACCATGATAAAATCTTCCTTCATTGGGCTAATGGTTTCACCAAGCTGGAGAAACATCGGAAGCTTTGTAAGAAGAAAAATATTATCTTCACATAAGGAAACCAATGAATAAAATCTCACCGAGACTTATGCAATAAGAAACTATCAGCATTTATATATCTGATCACGCAACATATTCAAAACATAAGTTGCCCAAAGGAACAATAATGCATGATAAAGAATAAAGATAGCAAATTACTTTATGCATTAGGAGTAGATCCTTCGAGGCATTTCCAGAAAGATCTGTCTGACCAGATGCCTTTAAAGCCCTTTTTGTTATAGTTTTTTTCGTAGTTCCTTTCTTATTCTGTTTTCTGCCATCTTCCTCTTGACGGAGCTGATAAATCAGATCCTCTGCGGCCCCTGGCCAGTAGTCCCCATCAAAATATGGAAGTCTTGCAGCAGTAACCTTTGCTCTACATTCACCAGTAGATACAAAGAAATGGTCATACAAGTTTGTGAGATCGACCACAATATCATCCTTGGCAGCTTTCCTTAGCATTGCTAGGTACCTGAAGAAAAAAGTTCACAAAGTTATTTTTGATAAACAAATCAACAAGTGTGCACAAGTAACACAATTACACGCCGTTTCCCTTTTTTCTGTTACACTAAAGCTCACCATTCCCGAAGCTTATCAGATTTTGGAGTTTTCTGAATTTCTGGATGACAATACAATATATAATCTTCACCCTTCAGCGGAGGACACGCCCAAATATAACAGCTTGTAAAACCACGTTTCTTGCAATAATCAAGGTATCCAATCTAACCAAAAAAATTAATATAGAATTAATCAAATTAAATTTCTTCAAGAAAAGCTGCTATTACTACAATAATAAACATTACATAAGAGGTAGCAATTAAAGCTTACTAGAATTTCATGGTAAACAAATGTCCGAAGGGCGTCTCCAGTCACAGCTTTAACCTCAGGACGAAAATACTTCACAGAATCAAGATATGAAAGATACACTCGTCGCTGATTAGGAAATTGGCATTCAGATCCAAATTCTTGCACATACATGCCAAACAGGCATACTTCCACACCTTCAATCTTCTGAAACAACAAAATTACCTGCAATAAAAACCAAATCATACCAATACGCATGATCAATGACAAGGATTCAATCACACTAGAGTAATCAAAGCAACCATCACACTACCTTTGATTTGTAAGGGAATTCTGTTGGGTAATTTTCATCCTGAAAAATTTCCAGAAAACGCTGTTTCACTTCTAACTTCTTGTCTACAGACGACACAACTCTTATAACAAGTGACTCGGCCCCAGGCACCTGGCAAATCCCCAGCACATTTCAATGGACTCAGTTGTCCGCAAAACAGCATAATAAGCAAGGCAAAAAAAATACTCAACCCAAAACATGAAAGGGCAAGAACTTTCATAAAATGCACTTATCATTACTATGGTTGAATCATGCTACTCGAGTAACTGGTACAAAACGCATAAAACTAAAGGACCAAATTTGTATCCACTATCTACATTAAATCAAAAACACTCAGGAAAAAACAACTGAAGCTACCAGTGCTCCCCGCATGAATTCCTCAACATAATAATACCTTTAGTTTACAAACTAAATAAAATACTCTCAGAGGAAAAGAAGTGGAAATATACCGGATCATCAGGTCAATAACAGCTTAGTACATAATATCAATGACAATTCACTGTGCATTATTTATTTTATGGGTCTTCATGTGATAATTGTCCAGGTTGTTGAACAGCAGATAGTAGCTGTGGCATCAAAAGCAAATTTGTTCCAGCCAGCCCCAGAAACAATTAAAAACAGTTTGCCACAAAATTTCCAGTATTTTGAAAACTTTTGAGGAAATACATTGTAATCCCTGGAACTACAGCCTGATTAAAAATTTAGCACGTCAACTTTAAAATGCAGCTACATGCTCTGAAGAACTAGGAGAAATAAAATGCAACAGCGTTTTTTACAAACAAAATTTGCGAACCAAAATTTGCAATTAGATCTCTGGCCCAAAAAAATGCAATTAGATCTTAATTCACAGGATTAAAATGTACTTTGCCCAAAATATTAAAATTCTGCACATAACCAACAATAATCTAAAATAATTGGGAATCAGTTGATGAATCACACCTCATCATAACTTTTTCCTTGAAGCCTTGCCCTCTCCTGTCTCTCCTGTTTTAGTTTCCTAAACAACCGTTGCTCTATGTGGTCACTCAGAATCGTTCTAGGCAGATCCTTGGCCCCAAGGACAGCACTTTGAGGTAAAGGTTTGCGCTCTCCTCTTTCTACTTCTTGAATATAGCAGTTAGGGCAAGTGTATTCAGCTTGTCCCCCATCGTTTCTCCGACCATTAAATAAAGCACAAATTTGATGTTGCCAAGCTTCGCATTTATCACATTGAACCCACTAAATGAAAAGAAAAGCATATATCAAATATATAAATACTAAACAAAACATATTAAAAGCTATCATTCAAGCAAGAAAATTAACATGACACATACCCATTCCTCAGTTTCTTCATCATTTTTCTTCTTCTCCAGCCTCCCCTTGGGAATGGTACTTCCATCAACAACAATGCTGTCTCCACGAGCCTCATTATAGCATGGAATACAAAAATAATGCCGTGTGTCACCAGCACCCATAGTATAATACATAGCATTTCGTTTAATGCGAGCACCACAAGTTGAGCAATAAATTGGAGGCGGTTCAAAAGTAAGCTTCTCTACAGCACACAACTGACAGGAATTCTCGCTCATTAAATGTTCCATTGCTTGATTCTTCTCTGCTTTTGCTTTGCTCTGGATCAATATAATAGATGATTCCTCAGAAAAGATGTGCATATCAAGGACAATTTGAGGCACAAGAAATTAAAACCTCGTATTGCTAGATAATGAGACAATATAAAAATTATTCAAAGACACGTTAGAGCATAGTAATAAAAGGACAATACTTTGGACCCAACTCATTCCTTCAACAAGCAGAAGCAATATATAAGGGTCGGATTCCATTTACCAAGGGACTGAAAAGTTCTACCATTTTTGCATGTCTTCTCATCAATAAACTCTAATATAAAATAAATATTATACATTCAATGAAAGTTGAAGTTTGCATTAAGACTTACTTGGCCAACCCATTGCCTAAGGCCAGTGATATGTTCCCTGACTTGCTCTGGAGTGAATAGTTCAATCAATGAGACCCCCTTGATTGTGGGTTTACCTGATTTGGTACTCGATGCATTTTCAGATGGCTGGGTCACACTTACTGGTTTATCTTGTCCAGTTTCTTTCTCTGTTTTAATATTTTCTGGCCCAGAATCATTAAATGTGACAGGTTCATTAGTAGGCCCTCCACCTTCCATGTTACTTACATTAACTTCACTAAGCTTCTCATTTGCCAAATGCACCAGAACTTCTTCCTTGACCTCTGTAAGCTCAGGTTTAATTGGCATAGAAGTCTCACAATGGGCATAATCTTGACACTGAGCAACCTTGGAAACATCAGAATGACACTTTGCAGAAAATGATATAGCAGAGTTGTCATTCTTAGAACTCAAGGAATGGATACTCTGCTCAATCTTCATGCGTTTTTGAGATGGCTGCAGGTCTTCTGAAGTTTCAATCACAGGTACTGGCTTTGGGATCAAGCTAGGTGATGGAGCTTCAGTGTCATAGGATTGGCAGTATCCATTAACAGCAACTGGCATGCCTGAATTATTACCTGGCTGAATCTGAGACTTAAGTTTATGTCGATAATTGCGAACAAAGACACAAACAGGGCAACAAGGATCCTTGCAGTTTTTGAAATGACGAAGCAACAGCCTGGTATGATGACAGCGGGGATACGAACAGTGAGTTAACTCACATCCTTCTATGTGCCTACACAACTTCTGAGCACTATAACAATATCGCTCTTGGCATTGTCCTTCAGGAGCAGGACATCGTCTAGCATGAAGCAGAAATAAAAGCCACCTCTGTTGGTTCCTGTGTGCTTTTTTGACAGCAACACCTAAGACTTGTGGCTCAGCTGAGCCTCTAGAAGCAACAGCTTGCCCAACAATCGATGGATCTGATGACAAATTATTGCATTGAGCTTCATCTAGCCTTGATATCCGTTGATGGAAATCAGACTGGACAAGCTGCTCTTGTGATGTATTCCCTGTTATGTGGTTGACATCATGCGGCTGAGAATTCCATTGATTTGCATATGCAGAATTAGACTGTGTCCCAGCTGAAGGCCAGCTAAAATTTTTTCCAGACTGTGAAGTCAAATGTTGGGAGTGAAGCATTTCTTGCGAATTCTGAGGTGCCCTCGTGGAAAAATCATTCTGACCAGATGCCAAAGGAAGATGTTGAGCATTCTTAGAGCAATCTTCAGCAGTTTTCTGCCGAAACTGATTTTGCATCCCTGAAATATGAAACTGTCCAGAAACCTGTGAATTAAGCACTTCTTGATGATGCTCAACTCCAGGCTCAGACTTCACCTTGCTTTCTAAGTTGGATGTTGCCTGAGACCGGCTAAAAGCATCATTATTGACCAAATGCTGAGGCTGCTGACTATGCATCTTAAGTTGAAATTGCTGCTGCACATACTGTTCTGGTTGTTGAAATTGCTGAGGCCGCTGCTGACATTGCTGTTGATGATGCAAAAGGCCATCTCTTGAAGTCGAAGAAGACTGAAAATTCACCTTGTCCAACTGATTAACTGCTTGAGACTTCAGAAGAGCGGCCTGCTGCATGCCATGCAAACTCGAATGACTATTAATCAGAGAGTTGGTTTTGGATATCACAGGCAATTTTGTAGAATTCATGTTCTGGCTGCTCATGATAGATCCAGAAGATGTTGCAGATGAATAAAAGTTTCCAGAAGCAAATGAATCCACATTATTCAATCCATAACCATCACCTGCCAACAGAAATTTTTACCAACAGTAAGATGCCAAATTCTACAGTGAAAAGTATGTATTTTTTGCCACCCATGAAAGTCCAACAGGGAAAGCATCTGTACGTGAAACACAAACACCCACCCATCCACGAAGAAATAACAGTACAAAGAGATAATACCACTAAATGAAGGAAGATTGAGGATTCAATCCCTTATAAACAAACAAAAAAGAGCAAGGAAGATTACTCTGCACTGGTGGTTGCTGATTTTGATCAAAGTGCTGCTGCAATTGTTTAGGGGAGTTACCATAAGCTGTGGCATAGCCGTCAGTAGTTCCAGATTCATTTGCAGCTTGCATATTATTTCCAACTGAGCCTAATCCACTAGTCATAGCTCCATTTGAGTATGCAAAAGATTTTTGTTGTAAACCAGACCTCATTCCACTACCCATTTGGTTACCAAGATTTTGCATCACATTATTGTTTTGGCCACCAACATGCGGCTTCTGCTGTGACTGTGATACCATAGTTGAATCAACATTGGAAAAGACATTGCTATTATTAGAAGATTCTACGTTCGTGTATGAGTGACTGCTGCTAGTGAATCCAGGAGAGGGAATCATCTGATTTGCATTTCTCTGCACACCCATTGATGACATGTTCCCCCCAGAACCAACCGAAAAGCCAGTAGAAGACTGCTGATAGCCATTTGCAAAACCTGAAATAACTAGACTCAATAATTCAGGCGGAAATGAGTAAAGTATAAGGATCTGGGGAAGAAGGATAGCAGAATTACCATCACCTCTCCTTAAGGAATTCCCATGCAAGTTGCCATGCAGATACATGTTTCCGCTATTGATAGATGAAGATGGCATGCTATTATATCCACTGGATGCAATCATTGGGACCTCTACGGAAGGTGTAGAGGCCATGCTTGAACTCACAACATGTGACATGCCAGGTGTTGGTATCATTGTACCAACCTGAGAGGAGCTGACAGTCTGGGGATATTGTTGGTTATGATTACTCGCAGATGATCGTTTGATGCAGTTCATCAAACGGCTCTCTAATGTTTCCATGTTCAAGTGCTCCTCCTGAGAAGATAAACACAAAACATTATCATCCCTAACAAAGAGCGGTTCAAAGAATAGGAAGTGTTTTAAGGAAAATTATAAGAGATGAAAAGGGAATATGTACAAAGCAAGTAGGCCAAGATATCAATCCTAAGAAAAGCAATAAAAAGCAAAGAAATAAACCTTGGAGCGTGCAGATCTTAACATGCCCTCTTCCAGGCGTTTAGCAAAATCCCTACACCTTCTTCTATTATTTTCAGTAACTGGATGCGGCTGCCGCTGCAATAGCATATCGTTGCTAAAACATAAAAGAGAAAAATGTTTAATGATTTTCTGTATTCATTTATTTTATGATTTTGTTGTTGCACACAAAATTTCAGTAAAAATATTAACAAATAACAGCAACCAAAAAAGATTGGGAAGAGTATGATTGTCTGATCTCACGTGCTATGGTTGATTGTCAAGGAACAAAGTATATATTTTTAGAGAGGTTAAGAGGACATAAAAACATAAATGGTTGCTTGCAATCTGGATTGTTTTGAGACCAATAAAACCTCTTATGTAACATTATCCAGCAGTAAGACACAAGGAAGTACCTTGGAAATGAAAAGACATGTAACATTAATCAGTCGTAAAACATGTTGACAGAGATAAATTTTAAAGCCCATTAAAACTAAATATAGCATTTACAAATTTGTGTTTCTTCACCTTATGCTTTAATATTTTTTTATGAACAGAAAAATATCCAACTCTTTCTAAAACTATGAACAAATTTGCCAAGAATAATTAATGCAGTCAACTCACCTTCTGATTAAATGCATTGCAAATAAACAATGAATAATTCATATAATATGAAAACACCAAAACCAAAACAATTGTCTTACATCTTTTCCTGCATGAGAAAACGTGCTCGGAGAAATTCAGGGTCCGTATTTATGGTTGAACGTGGAATACCACCTAAATTTGGTATCTGAGGAGGGAGAGCATTTCCATTTGTCTGAGCCAGTCCCGGCAACTGAGACCCTGCTTGATTAGGTACCTGGCCCGAAATGTGCGCCTGCAGCTCCATCTTCCCTATTCGATACTCCTGATTAGCAAACCGGATATCGCATTACTCAAACGCTAATGATTCCATAATCAGCTAGTAAGTCAGCTGCACCAAACACATTTTCATTGTGCATAAAGCACCGCCAAGTAAAACTTTCAACATAAGCAAACATCATTACAGATTATGCACCGAAATATTGGGAATCCACATATTTTTGCGTGTGTATCAATATGTGTGTGTGCGTGCGCGTGTGTGTCGTAAAATAAAAAGTCAACAATTCCATTAGTGGAATAAATATAAAATACCTGGAAGAAACTCAGTTGATAAGAAGTTTCAAAATTTACAAGCAACGACAAAAGCCATTGAATGCAAGAAACAAGGTTAAATATCTCAAAATATTCTCTGAAACCAGGGACAGCGGATGAAAAACCGTTAAACAGATCCCCTATGCTCGGAACTGGAAATTGAAGGTTCGAATTTAAATTATATAAATTCAATTAAATATTACTACAGTAAGTATAGGCTAATACTAAATTAAAACAAACAATAGCAAATTAACAATTAAGGAACTCAGAAACCCTAGAAGTTTAATAAATTACGACGAACCTAAAATAGGGAAAAATCGGGTACAGGCCTGACAAGAGTTTCCAAATTCATATGTAAAACCGAAAACGACCAAACCGTCGAACACCACGCCGTCGTCGATCGACAAATTGATAACCGCGGAGAAGGAAAGAAGGTCGGTGACGCCGTCCCAACTAAAGGCACGTGCGAATTTCGCCACGAACGAACTATTGCAGAAATAAATAAAAGAAGGGAAACTTGAGAATGAGACGAAATTGAAAAGTATACTTTCTGAAGCCCAAATGCAGGATTTTTTTTTTTTTTTTTACGTTTGTTATTCTCCCTGTTCTTCTTCTCTCTCTCCCCTTCTAGTTGACTTCAAGCCGTCTCGAAATCTTAAATTTATTTTTTTGGTCCAAATTATTTTATTCAAATTATTTTGCAAAAATGAGAAAATTATTTATCCAATCTAACTTTTTTATTTTATAAAAGTGCTTCCAGCAAACTTGAATATTTTTCCACGTGCATCAAATATTTTAAAGTATTTTGTAATGTATGCAGTATCCAGAATTTTTTTCCAGTACATCCATCACCCGAAATTATATTTTTGGTATATTCAACATTTTAAAGTATTTTTTAAATGCGTCTAACACCTTAAATTATTTTTTAGTGTGTCTAATACTCTAAAATGCTGTATGAAAAAAAATACTTTAGATGCGATATGTATTTGAAAAAATACTTTAAAGTATTGAATGCACTACAAAATATTTTGGGATATTAAATGTATCTAGAAAAATATTTCAGTATGCTTTATGTATCTTCACCCTTAACATAATCAAACATATGCAAGTATACAAGCATGTTAACACCAAATTTGAGTGGAATCTCATCTAGGCATGATATTGGTGGGTGGTTTTGACACAAGGACATCATTGACATCTAATCTAACTAAATATTACCTCAAGAGCTTAAAAAGGGATTCACTTTAATCATAACCCCAATTCACCACACCTCTTAAATTTAAAATTTTTTTTATCAAAAGTATCCTCATTAACCTTGCATATTAAGGGAGCTCCCAATCAGGAATACTCCAATATACATGATTAAATATGATAGTTTACAAAAATCAAGTCACAATTATTAAATATAATTAAAATAATTTTCTTAATTTTTGTAAATTAATTATTTAGCTTTTATATTAATGACCAAAGGAAATATTTAGTATTAATTTTTTTCATAATTTTTCTTTAAGTTATGAATTCTTTTGGATAAACAAGCAACTAAAATTATATTCCACGTAAAACCACTTACAATGACCCAAATGTCTATTTGCAAAGGTTGCAACGGCCATGAGGTCATTTACCATGAATCTATGATACCATCTACCATCTACAAAGCTACTACAAGTCTTTGAACAAATGTAAGCCTAAGGCTGGGTTGGGGGAAAAAAAAATGCAAACCTAAGGAAAGCTACATGCATTGCTCTTGAAGTTACTGTGATAGATTATGAGAAGGTACCAAGGATATAATATGGTATTTACCATTTTATATGAATATATGATTATGTTGTTGGAAAAAAATATATGTATGATTATGATTATATGATAATTAAAACATAATTAGTTTGATAAAAATATAATTAATTTGTACGAATTTATGATCGATTATAATTATATGTGATTATCACATCATAAATATATAAATAGTTATTTATATTTGGATTTAATAACATGTCCCCACAGCTATACATGTGTGTATTAATTAGCAAAATCTTTAATTTGCTACAAATAAATAGATTTGTGTGATATTCACAGTATCTAAAAAAATCAACTTTTAAAAATGCATTTGAAATGAAAAATGTGTTATAACATATAGGGTAAAGGTATATTCACACTCTGATCTTATATATTTTAGGAAAATGTCACTGAGGTCCCATAAACAATAGAATATTGTAAAAAAGTCTCTTCAAACTTGATAACGAATCAAAAGTTCTAAAGGACCTGATTTCAATAAAGAAAAATACGAAAAGACTATGTTGTCCCTGTAAAAATACATATAAGACACTGATTCAGCTTAAATCTCCATCACAAAGCTACCTCTTCTCTTAAAGCCTGTCTTTATCACTCAATTCTTTTCATGCCGAGGTTGCCCTAAATCCTTAAACTCCTAAATCACTACAAAAAAAATAGTTTATTATGAACAGAAATTTCATCGCTAAATTTATCAATAGAAAATTCCATCGCTAAATTATAAGGCTAATCCATTGAAAAATCCGTCAACAAATATTTAGTAACGGAATTAGCAATAGAATTTTTTTTTTGTTAGAAATTTCTGACGCTAATTCCGTTGCAAATTTTAATTACAAAATTTTAGCTATAGAATTAGTAACAAAAAAATTATGCCGCCAAATTACTGTCAACAAAATTTCCATCACTAATTTCGTTACTAATTTTAAATTTCATTATTTTAGATTATAATCTTACAATAATTTATATAATAATATAATTAAGAATATAATGATTTGAATATATTTTCAGTTGTAAAATAAATTGATATATTTGTGGAGTTGGTGTTAATGAAAATATTATTATCATTTATCTCATCATTAGATACATACTAAGAATAGGAAGATAATTCCTTAGAAAACTTGTTTATATTTCATTAAAATCAATTCCTCTTGATTATTAATAATAATTAAACAAATATGTTAAGAGTATTAATAACTTTATTATGTAAATTGATATAAGAAAGAAATAATTCTATTATATATGCAATATATTAAAAGATATGATATATGATAGAAATTCAAAACTAAAAAATGAATTTATGCGAACACCTTGTTTATCATAATCTATTCAAATCATTTAACTTTTTTATATAGAATAATCTATTAGATTTTATTAGGGAAAATGACAATAAAATACCACTTGAATTCCAAAAAGACAAATAAGGGACCTGAATAAGCAAAATGACAAATAGGGCACTGGGTACCAATCTGGAATTTTGATTTTTGATGTCAAAACATGTTGCAAAACCCATTGACAAAGTAGTAACTCTCACTATGAAAGTTGTAAATCCCACTATGTGTTTTGTAAAATTCAGCGTGGAATTGTATTGTTTTTTACAGAAAAGTTGCCTAACCCCTCAAAACAGGTTGCAAAAGCCATTGACCAAGTAGTAATTCTCATTATGAAAGTTGTAAATCCCACTATGTGTTTGTAAAATTAGGCAAAACTTGTTCGGCCCTTCAAAACAGGTTGTAAAACCCATTGACGAAGTAGTAACTCTCACTATGAAAGTTGTAAATCTCACTATGTGTTTTGTAAAATTCAAAATCAAAATCCCATATTGGTACCTGATGCCTTCTATGTCATTTTGCTTATTCAGGTCCCTTATTTGTCTTTTTGGAATTCAAGTGGTATTTTATTGTCATTTTCCCATTTTATTATGGTAGTTATTTTTTGAATAACAAGATTTGTTTACTAATTATCAATGATTTTCATGAAATATAAACACATACAGATAATATAGTATAATGTAATATAATACAGATATAATTAAACTATATATCTTATCAATGTCAATTAACAAATTAAATTTAAAAAATATATTTATGAAAAAATTATTTATGATTTAAAATTGAAAATTAGTGTAATTGGAAATTAATATTATATTAAAAATATTTTTTAAAAAATAAAACATTATAAAATGAATAGTAAAACAAATGCTTAAAAATTATTTTGTCACAAAAATAGTTATGATTAAAATTATCATACATTTTATTTTTAGTTTGTAATAATATATATGTGTGTATATATAATTTTTTGTGTAAAAAATTATTATATATATTTAATTTTGCAAAATAAATTAGTAAATTCATTGCAACTCAACTGGTGAAACCCTGCACGCACGCACACAAGGTCCTTGGTTCTAGCTGTGAAGAAGTCATTTTGAGGAGGAATTATGCGGTGGCGACACGTGGCGATGCAAGGTGGCATGCGAGATGGTGATACATGACAGGTAAAGGTGAAGTGGCAGCAACATGTGGAGGTGACCGGCAATTGTCACCGGTGATGAGATAGCAATTGGTGGAGGTGTTAATTTTTTTTTTTAAAGTCAGGTTAGTGACAAACTTTTTTTGTTGCTGATTTGTGATGGAAATTTTCAGTCACTAATCCAATTAGTGACAAAAGAATTAGCGACGGAACAAATTCCGTCACTGATCCATTACTAAATAAAAATTTTGTTGTTAAATTCCATTGCTAATTGCATTTTTTTGGTAGTGAATCTAATTTAAATTGGTCCGCCTCACTAAGCTCTTGATTCCTAACTCCAACCTTCAAATTGAAGTCTGTCGGTGCTCGTGACGTCGTCTTCACTTCAGTCTCTTGGCCATAGCTGTGGACTGTGATATTGGATTATTTTGTCTGGGTTAAATTTATGAATTTATGATTTGAGTACTTCCTAATTTGATTATGTCATCAATTTCAGTACAGTTTTGAAGGATATGCCAACTGCTTTTCCCGCTATTGAATTCTTGGCCCATTTATTTAGTGATTATTTATGAAACACAGTTTCAATTTATGTCTCTTTATACTTGGAGTTGATTTATTTTTTGCTGGGCATTGAATTTTTCAAATGTTATCTTATGTTTCCTCACAGATGTGCTCTAAATGCTACAAATGCTATTTCTTTGGCTAAGTTGAAGAAGATAAAACATTTTATTGGAAAAATATATTTGCAAGTAAAATAGTAGATATATGTTGTTGAAGTTTCATGGTATATTGTTGTAGTTTACATCACCCTTTGTGTTGGTCATTTACTAACTTACTTAAATTAAGACCTGTTCAATTATATTTGTTGAAGGTATGCTCCAGCTGATTATTCAGTTCCCTTGTAGTGAGTGTCTAGTTTTGTTTCTGTCCCAGAATTATAGAGCTCAATGTCACAAGATCTTATGACTTTTGTCTAGATAAAGATTCAGCCGCTTTTGTTTTCCATAAACATCAACTTCTTCCAATTGTAAGGTGTTGTTGATTTGTTGTCTAAATTTAACTTCTATAAACTTATAATTGAATTTTCAAATTATGTTCATTGCGTTGACATTGACGTTCTTTCATCTAGGCAATGTCTTGCTATGAAGATGTGAACTTTTTTGACAAGATTGTTTGCTTCTTTATAAAACCTTTCATCCAGTGTTTCTTTCCCA